CAAGGAGCCCTAGCAAAACTGGAATCAATGGGTATCAGTGGGCAAACCTTCCACTGCTTTGAGTTATACCTGACACATAGGAAGATGGTTGTGGTTCTTGGAGGTCAGTCATCTCAGCTCCAGAGCATCCCCTGCAAGAGTTCCTCAGGGGAGTGTCCCCACATCCAACTATCTTTAGCTGCTTCATCAATGATCTTGGCTCCATCATAAGGTCATCAATGATTGCTCAATGATTCTCAGGCTATGTGCATCATCAGCAAATTCAGTGCAGAGATTCCCTTCCCACGTAGGTCAGGTGATGAGTTTGAGGAACTTGCACCTAATGAAACACAAAGCACTCGTAAGCAGATAGTGGTTGCAAGAACACTAAAGATGAATCAGCACCGAGATGCTGTTATGCTCAGGCACTGGCAGCTGGTTGGATGTTGAATTGATCAATCAAGTAAGAAGCAGTGCTGGCCAACCAACCACACAGAATGTTGAAAAAGAAAGAGAAACCAAAGGGTAAACTGGTTTTGACTGGGGTTTTGGGCAGGAGGCAGTATTGCATTGGAAGCTGCTGGACTGGGTTTTTTGGTTTTGCTCTCTCCAGTTATCGACATGTTGAAAGTGCTGAGAAAAGAAAATAATAAAGGAAAGGTCTCCAAAGTCTGCAGAAGCTGTTTATATTCACTGCTGACTTTGGAATTCAAGCAAGATACAATCCTCACATGTCTGCAATATAAGCCATCAGATTTCATGAAGGCCAGTATGCGTTGAAACAGTTATTGAACTGGTAACTTATTATTATTTATTTTTTAAAAATTATCCCTTAACTGTCTGTCTGTCAGTAGGCGAGTGGGGTTGGTGATCAAAGAAGATTGGGCTTAGATCGGAGATATTAATTTGATTGTCTTGAAGTTCACCTGTGTTTTGCTAAAGTTACATGATTAATAATGAATTGTTAATTTTGGTTTAAGTTACAAACTTGGTGTCCAATATGGTTTATTGGAAAGCCTGGTTAGGAACAATTAAGCAATTTTGAGGGTCATCGAATGTTTAATTACATTGTGTTGTGAATCCAGTATTAGTGAGTCTGACTTGGTCTGACTTCCCATTCCTGTGCTGTAACCCAGGACATTCAACACACATACTGAATTTGCTACTTTTTAAAGTGGTCATATCCAATAAGGGGAGAGTTTAATGTGGTTCTCAATTATTTAGAAAGGAAGCAGTAATTTAACATATCAGAAAGTAGTAGAAACATCATATTTCCTACTTTTGTCACCACATAATGCCGACTAGCCTTTCTCTACCAAATGTTGAAATCGTACTGGATTCAGATGTAAGCCAAATTTGCCATGCTTTATGCACTGCCTCCAGTGAAACATTTACATTATCACACAGTAGTAAATGCCTCTCTCTCTCTCTCTCTCTCACACACACACACACACACAAGTGCAGCATTGGAGCAGTTACATCTTGAATCAATGCAGAGGCTTCCCCCTTTTGGCTAGAATTTGAACTACCGCGCACATTGGCGACCATTTAATTTCAGGACAAAAACTGAAATTGTTGGAGAAACTCATTTTATCTAATTCTAGGAACCAGTTTATCAGGAATTTAACTAAGAGACAGCAAAGGTTAGTCCCCTTACTCTAACTGAAATCAGATGGCTCAATGCTGCCCAGGGACTGAACCTGACAGTCTTCTGTTCCGTGTGGCTCAGTGTGGTTGTCAATTGAGTCACCAAATATGATTTTCAAAGATCTCTTTATTCTACACTGCTTCTGAACTTTATAATGATGTAATTTTAGATATATTTCAAAAGATTTAATTTGCTTTTTCCTACTTTTTAATTATACTCTTGATTTTCATTTTTTAATTTTCTTCTCTATACTTCTCTGTATCCTTTTTTCCCCTCTATCTTATTCACAAACATACTGTAATTGATATATGTTACAGCCATAATGGTGATTAACCCTGCAAAACAGATTGGAAACCTGGAGTGCTCTGGTCATCTGAGGTGATGTGTTGGCAGATGAAATTGTAATTTTAGCAGCCTCACATAACATGGTGAATAGTTGTACCGATTGGTACAGCAATATGCCATACAAACCACACAGAATCTTAGGTTCTAACTGTTTAATGCAGCTAGTAGATTCCAGCAGACTGGATCTACATTGTCTATCATAGTCTTGGTGATTCTGGGGTTAGTGAGGGAAAAAAATCAGCCCAGTTTTTCAAGATTGATCTGTATCTATTGATGCCTACTAGAAAGAGCATATTTATGGATAGCTTATGGATAGCATATGGAGACAGAATTAGACTCATCTTTGATTGCTTCCTGACAGGTAGGTCATTGGCCCTCTTGTGAATGCATTGCTGTAATAGCAATGAGGTGGCTTCCAGAGGCATAGACCACCTTTTGCTGCTACCAGCAGACAATATTGCTGGTGTTAGGGCAGCCATTTTATTCTGATCGCGCCTGAGCTTGTCCATGGAGAATACTGGACTCTACAAGCCTGAACAGCACACAGTTATAGAGCACAAATGGCAGCAATTCAAATGGTAGCTCTTTTGTCTCTGAGTAAGAAGGTTGCAGGTTCAAATCCCACTAGAGAGACCTGAGCACAAAGTTTTAGGTTGACACTCCAGTGGAGAACAGCAGTAAGATGTTAAACTGAGGACCCATCAGGTGTATATAAAAGATTTCCAGATAATATTTTGAAAAAAAGGGGGTAAATTTTCCCAGTGTCCTGGTGAATATTTATCCTTTCCCAATATAATTTAAACAGATTATCCATTCCTTATCACATTGCTGTTTGTGAGAGCTTGCACTGTGCAAATTCGCAATTGCACTTCAAAATATATTGGCATATCATGAGGTTGTGAAAGATGGTAAGTAAATGAAAGTCTTTATTTTAATGTGCAACTTCCACTCAGTGTAGGGTTGAGTGAGGTGCATTTATGTCATGAACTCATGCTATGAGGGTGACTAAATCTGACAATGGGGAAGATATAGGCATCAGTATAAACAGCCCTCTGCATGCCTGTAGATTTGGAGTGACAAGCTACCATTAGATTTGCTGTGTGACATTTGGCTTCAGCATCCCTGCACTAGGCTTCCTGCACATGATCGCTCTCTGGTAATCCTTTCTGCTATTAGGTAAGAAACAGAGGATTTTGCAGCGATACAAATGCTGCCTCTTCTTCTCCTGGCCACTCACAGTCTGGTATTAGTTCCCACCAGTGTGGATATCACCCAGTTGCCAGGGAAGGCTGGTAAAGCAGTAAATAAAGTTGAGAGCTGTGACTCAAACAATTGTTTGCCTGTTGTTCTGGAATTTGCCCTGTAGTGTAAACAGGGCAGATTCCACAGCAGTGGGACCCTCGGGGTATACTACAGTAATATAAAAGCAGCATTAGGAACAGTGACCTTGTCCTGACCTCAACCTCACCAATCATTTTTGATTGAGATATTACTAAAGTTGTTACTTTCAAGTTTTGAGAAGGATTTTCATGGTAAAATTGTTCCATTTCATAGAAATAATGAATCATTTATAAATTGTGTAACAGATATTTTTCCCAATACTTTCAATGACATTATGAAATGAGAACCCTCCCCCAAAAGCATGAAAAATGACTGAAACTTGCCTCTCAACCTTAATTTCCCATGAAGTATTTTCTGTTTTTGAATAATATGAAAAGATGTTTGTCTTGACGGTTTTTATGTTGATCACGTTATTGGAGAAATTGTTTTGAGGGAGTGAAATTGTGATGGTGTTCAATTCACTGATACCACTGAAATAACAAAATCATTGACATCCCTGAGTAAATCTTTGCTTTATGCCTTTTTGTCAACACTATTTTTTCTAAAGGTACTGAATCCTTACTGGGTTGCAAGCTTCATTGCTTGACCGAAGTGGCCATCATTAATGTCTGGGCCCATGCAAAAGTGGCATTAGGTCAGTCGGCAATGAAAGTTTTTAAACATTTATTCCTGCAACATGGCATTGCTGGCAAGGTCAGCATTTATTGTCAAACTCTAATTATCCTCAACAAGGTGATGATGAGGCACCTTCTTGAACTGCAGCAGTCCTTGTTGTGTTAGTACATTGACAGTGCTGTTCGGGAGTTCCAGGATTTTCACATTGACACCAAGTCAGGATGGTGAATGGCTTGGAGGGGAAATTGTAGGTGGTGAT